ACCCGCCCCCCCCCCCCCCCCCCAAAAAAAGAAAACAAAAAAAGAACCCTCCTTACCTTAAGTAAACCCCCTAAATAAAAATCCCCTCCTTCTGAATCCATCTATGAGAGATTATACCTGTCACTCAGTGTCTCACCAAATATACAGTAGGATTGATTTTTATCTGATGTCTTACTGTTTGCTTAGTTGGGGCCCTCGAGCATTCATAGGACCACAGATTTGTTCGGATCATTTTCCAATCTTTTCCACAATACAAACTCCCAGGAACTGTTAAACCCTGTTCATCCTGATGTTTAAATGAGAATCTATTGTCTGATCCCCAAGTGCAAGCAGATATCTCTAAGGGGATTAAAAATGTTCTTCATGACCATGTTAACGATGAAACAGCGCTGCCTGTTAAATGGGAAGCCTTGAAGTGTGTCCTACGTGGGATTTTTATTCTGCATGGTGCCCGGTTGAAGAGGGAAAAGGAGGCATCTTTTAATAAATACTACAGGAAATACATGCCTTAGAACTTCAGCAGAAAAGTTCATATGATGGGATCACTTTTTTAGAATTACAACAGAAAAGGGTCGATCAGCATAAGTTATTAGGTTTAGTATATCAAAGATATAAGGATGGGTCTTCTCTTTAGTAAGAAATGCGATACATTTCTAGCGTGATCTATTAGGGATAGGCAAACGAGGACATTTATCTCCAAAATTCGGTGTCTGACTCATGGACTGGTGCATATCTCGAAGCTTATAGCATCAATGTTTCACCAATATTACTCTGAGCTGTATAATATACGTAATCCTTTTTATAACAAGTAGAAAACAGGTTTTTTTTTAGAGAGGTATACAATCATTGCATGGATACATTTTTGTAAAAATATAAAGTTTATTACACACTGAATAAATAGTATAAAATCATGAATATAACCATACATCTAACATGGCTCCCTTCCTCTTGTCAAGAGCACATATAACATAAATCACATCCCCATAATTCAAGTCACATTATTGATACCACATCTATGTGCGAATGAAGAGTGTTTTATCCATTTCCAATGCGTTTTGCATATTGCTTCATCAGGGCATCATGGATTAATCTAGCAATAAAAGTTATACACGAGATTAGTTCTAGGCAATACAACATATCCATAGAGAACTTATGTATAATATGAGAAAACACTACAGTCAAACCAAGCAGAGAAGAGGCCCCACCACCAGTAATCACCTGGCACTTACCACCCTGATGTGGTAACTGAAGAGGGATAGAGATTCCTAGACCGAGCGGGGACCGGGATAAAAGTCCACCGACCCAACTACTCCGTCCATTGTTGCCTCGTGGACCCTGGGGCCATACAAAGGGGGGCGTCCAGAACCGGAAAGGGGGGAGGCCCACCTTTAATCTGTCAGAGCTAAATTGATGATATGCTTGAGCCACTTAATAACCAGTATCCAAAGCTGTTCATATTCCAAACCTGTTTGGTGGGCAAAAATGTAATCTAGTAGTCTGAGGAATAAGCTATGGCAGCCTATATAGTTAATATCATCAGATAACTCTCAAGGTTGTGCGCGGCTCCGGGAATATATAGAAAGGACAGCCTATGTTGGATCTAATAGTAGCTGGATCTATAGGCTCCCCATTTACATCTGAAGAAATAAATGCCACACTTATGGCTCTTCCTCTGGGCAAGAGTCCTGACCGAGTTGGCTATACGGTTCTTTTTATAAAAAATGTAGACATGAGCTTGTCCCGATTATTAATATTACAGTACGTTTAATGCCATCTCCGAGATATACCCTTTGTCGAGGCAATCACAAGAGACTTATATAGCTTTAATTCCCAAATAGCAGCAAGACCCTGTACAATGTGCTAGCTATAGACCAATTTCACTGATCAATGTTGATCTTAAGCTAAAAATTATATCTTCTCGTCTTCAGCCCTATGTGGCTTCAATGATACATTTAGATCAAGTGGGATTTGTGCCACAACGGGAGGCATGTGACAACACGATCAAGATACTATCTCTCATTCATTCCTTAGACGCTGAAAAGGCGTTTGATCGCATTGATTGGACATTCCTTAAGACCTCGCTGATCCAGACTGGATTACCCCCTTCCTTCATTGCAAAAATGTTTGCGTTATATTCTTGCCCTACTGCCAGGGTCCGGGTTAATGGCGTCTTATCAGCTCCAGTAAATATAACCAATGGGATATGACAGGGATGCCCGTTATCCCTGGTTTTATATATTTTAGCTATGGAACATTAAGCCAATGCCCTTGGGGCGAATGGGGATGTTCGAGGCATCGAGGTAGGGGGGTAGGACCAAAGTCTTTTTGCAGACGATCTACTTCTATATATCTCTAACTCGAATATTGCTTTTTCCCTCACTCCTAAAAGAAATAGAGCATTTTGGACGACTTAGTCATTTTCGTGTAAATGCTTCAAACTCGGAATGCTTAGATGTTTCGCTTTCTGCACATAATCGTGAGGCTATTCAAGCTAGCTTTCCTTTTAAGTGAAAGAAGCAATGTAATAAATATCTGGGGGTCTATATTTCGGTTTGGGAATCAGATATTTTTGAGCTTAACTACATGCCCCTATTAGTGTGTATGCAGCATAGATTGACTTTATGGGCCTTAAAGAAGCATTCCTAGATGGGTAGGATGGAGCTGCTTAAAATGGATATTTTACCACAATTTATATATTTATTTTAGACTCTACCGATTAAGATTCACCGGTCTTATTTTAGAGCCCTGAGGATGGTGAAGGTTAAATATGTGTGGTGCCATGCCCCTGCCCATCTGAGACATGATATATTAGTAATGAGCAGACAAGATGGTGGAGCAGGTCTTCGACACATAGAATTATATTATTGGGCAGCGGTGTTAAGTCGCATAGCGGATTGGTTTTCCCATGCTAATAATAATTTATGGGTATTACTTCTATTTCATGGGTATGTCCATATAACCGACCCTCCCAGGGGTCTTTGTCCCCGCTTGTGTGTGCCCTTTTGAAGGTATGGGCTACTGTAGTAGGTTCATATGATATATCGTCATATATAAGTACTTTTACTTCCATTGTGAGTAACCCTGATTTCACCCGGGGACTTCCAGCTAACGGTTCTTAAAATGGTGTGTCCCAAAGCCATTTCCTATTGTCCAGGCTATTTCAGGTTCTGGCCTACATCCCTTAGTTTTTATTACTACATTACTACAAGAAGGCCATTCATTAGTGGGTCAGTGGCTCTCGTATTTACAGTTGAAGCATTTTTACGTATATCTCTCTACAGCGGTTCCCTTAGGCGAGACCTGCCTTCTCTAATCGCCTCTTTTGTACTAAGGGTTGGGAAAACAAATTAGGACATAGGATATCTGCGGATTACTGGACTCGGTCATTTGTATTACTATTTGAATCAAGTGTTTCAAGTCATATACAGGAACAGAACTTTAAAATATTGACCAGATTGTATAGGTGTCCTACCTTAATGCATAGGATTTTTCCTGATATATCAAACTGATGTTGGAGATGTGGGATTGAAGAGGGCACTATGATACATGTTTGGTGGTCTTGTCATGGGATTCAACTCTTTTGGGAGGCAGTTTTTTAAATAGGAACCCAACTTACTGGGGTTGAGAGACCTGTAACTCCGGAGGTGGCGTTGTTAACTTTTATGCCAGGAACGTTAAAAGAAGTAAAGAGAGGTCTATTTTGTTTCCTTCTTTTTGCCGCTAGAACAGTGATAGCACAACATTGGAGGTCCCAGAAGCCCCGCAAATCAGAGAGTGGGTTAAAGAACATCATTTTATAAGGAGGATAGAAAAGTTTACAGTGCACTTTCGTGATCGATATCTAGAAATTATAGAGACTTGGAGTACCCGGATACAGTTTACCTCTTCTCTAATAGGGATACAGGAATATACAGCAATAAGAAATTCCACTCCTCTACTTGATCACTTGAGGGGGTTCTTCTTTTTATTACTTTTTTTTCTTGTCTTTTTTTCTTTTTTATGTTCCCAAGACCAGGGGATTCTGGTCAGGAGATAGGTGGGATTGGGATGAACTGAGTATGAGCAATAGTTGAATTAGTTAGATGTACAGTATATAAACATATGAATTGTTCTACAGCGAATGGCAATGAACTGAGTAGTGTATTTTTGTTTGTAATATTGTGTGTTTGGATTTTTGTTATTTGATGTGTGTAAGTGTAAAATGTGTATTAAATGTATTAAATATAAACAAAAGTCTATTTCACAAAAGAAAATCTCCACCCAGGTACATTCTCGTGAATAGCAACTACTCCTAAAATTACCGTCCAACACTCAGTTTTGCTACCCCTTCTCTTGTCCAGCACTTCTCCCCCACCTGCCTATCATTTGTCTCTGCACTCCCTCATTGAACATTCTCCTGTGCATCTCTTGTTCGCTACCGGCTAGCAAAATTCTACCTAAAAAGCAACCCTTCCCAAAGCCACACTCAATGGCACCCCTTTTTGACTACTGCTAGCCTTTGCACCCATCCCCAGACTCCCATACAATGCATCCAAATACCCTCTCCTCTTCACATATTCACATCTAATATGACCTGCTGACATCTGATACACATACATACAACACAGCCCCCATTCCTCACACATACATACAATGCAGCCTCCTGCACACCTCCACATACTATTAATGCAGCCGCCCACCACTGTAACTCATGCAGTCCTCCTGAAGAAGCTGGCAGCTGCTTGTAAAAAAGGACCACATGCTGTGCATGAACTGGAAGGGTCCTTATAGGAGTCTATTTGCATGGCTATGGGCAGCTCAGTAAAAGCCAGCTGGGACAGTGCCACAGAGGCAGCTAGGAAGATTAAGGAGGGCACAGCTTGCCATGCACTTCCCCATCAAAGCACTGCATCCAGGGCGGAACCCCTAGTTCAGTTCTTTAAGTGGCGCTCCAGATACATTTTTTTTTTAGTTTTTGGTAAAGCTGGCAAGGACTAGAACTTCCGTTCAGTTCACTTTTATAATGAAGACATTGCTGTAGCTTGTGTTATAAAGTTATGCCTCCTATATCGTCAGTCTTATTCATACTCCCAAGGCAAATTCTATTCTGATTGGTGGCTATGAGAACCGTCTTGGTACTGAATTTTTATAAAATAGGCTTTTGATATATGAAAGGTAAAAAGGTGAGTATCAAAATTAGGCATATTCCAAGACCACCAGAAAACTAAAAAAGTGAGTGGAGTGGACTGGTCTATTACAGCAATGTCTGGCTTAATTTTTTATTTTTGTTGCAGTGTACATCAACCTCTTGAACTTGAGTACACTCCAACCAAAAACTATCATCTGTTTTGTTGAGGGTCAGACTTAATATATTAATGTTATATTTCAAACACAAACAAACAAAATAAATAATGCTACTGGGAATGTGGAGTGCAAAACCTAGCCAACTTTGAAATAAAATCTCTCTTTTCACATTTACCTTCAGCCTGAGAAACTGGGTGATATCTGCATTTCGCTACGATATGTTCCCACAGCTGGGAAACTGACAGTGTGCATCCTGGAAGCCAAGAATCTTAAGAAGATGGATGTGGGTGGCTTGTCAGGTAAGCATGAGCTCAGAGTATATATCCAGATTCATATTCATTGCAGTAAATTTGCAGCAGCCATACATCTTTCTGATTGCTTTCTGTGAAGATTTGTAGATGGCTACAGAGTTGTTTACTTAGCTGGCTACAGTACTTCTTTATGCAGCTACACATCACTGGTGTGTCATGGTCATCAAAAGCTGGATTGGATGCAACTGACACAGCTCTTATATTGATTGCAATTCAGCTTTTCCTACCAACAAAAATGGTAAGGGAAGTAATTCTGTAGCGGTTACAAAATGCTGCTACAAAATCAATTGTTTGACCTTGGTCCTTGGTTTCGCAAGCTTCTCAAACCTCAATGCAATCAGTTTAATTCTCTGGTCTGTATTTTCTCTACCTCTTTTTTTTTACTCCGCTCTTATTGTGAGTTTTGCATGTCAAATGTAAAATCATTGTATGTTTATTTTGGATATAAGGCATTGTTTGAAGGATGTTTTATTTCCAAGGAAAACTGTATATGCCCTTTAGCGGCTTCTAGTGGCTGAGCTTGTCCTCTGTCAGCCCCTGATCTCTAATAGCTGATTGTTTATCCAGCAGCTGGCAGCCCTCAGCGCCTACTGGCTTCCTTTGGATTAGGAAATATTTAACATGGGGCCTGCAAGGGGAAGCAGTTTGCTTGTTTAGATAGGAAAATGAAAGCAGTTCATGTGGTATACTTCAGTAAAGGACACATTTTTCCTATCTCTGAGGTCTCTGATTTTCATTTACAATATTCTTTTTGCTCACATTTACTTCATTATTTCTAGATCCCTATGTAAAGATTCATTTGATGCAGAATGGAAAACGTCTAAAAAAGAAAAAAACAACAGTGAAGAAGAAGACATTGAATCCATATTTCAATGAGTCTTTCAGTTTTGAGATACCATTTGAGCAGATACAGGTATTATGTCCAAGCTCTACAAATCATAAACCGCCATTCAGGGAGTTTCACTTAAAAATTCTAAGACAATAAAAATCATTATTAGTGATTGTGATAGTGAGTGGTTGTAGAAGTATATTTATTTATTGTAGAAGGTTTTACAATAA